GGTTCAACACTATGCCATCGGCCGCCAGTGTGTCGATGTTAGGGGTGAGCACGTGGTCCGAGTGGTAGCCCACGTCAGCCCATCCCATGTCGTCCGCAATAAATATGATAACATTTGGCAATTGTTTTGTATTGCAATGTGTTATAGAAATGAGAGACAAATATAATATAATAATTAATTTGTAAAACATTTTGAGACATATAAATGTGTTCATTATAGCCATCAATAGACAAAATTGACTAATATTTCTAAATGAAATCTGTTTATGAAAATATAAAAACTCATTTATCATTCAAAATGATCAGCATTATTTCATATTTACCGTTACTGTATCATTGCATACTGATATTATATCAGTGATATAGGTCGGTAAAATTAAAATGTGCTAACTGTCAAGTTCTTATAAGATTTACAAAAAGTCCTGGATAAATTTTTAGCTATTAAATTAATTTATTTTGAGATTCTTTATTGTGTATGTTACACATAAATAGTTTGTTTTATATAACTTAACAGTTTGCTTTCTTTTAAAAATTATTTCAACATTGCTTTCAATCATACAGTTTACTGTATTTATAATTAGTAAAAATTACAATGTCATTATTTGAAAAACACTACCATTGCAATTCCTAAACAATATTAACAGTGCCACTGCTATTTTACATTTCATTATTTGACTTTTGATTTGTAAATCCTTTTATATATTTTTGTTCCCTACAAATGGTGTTTTAATTAACTATTTAAATTAATTGTTATAATTAAAATAATTACAGCAACCCTCATATGCCATGTCAGCACCTGTATTACCGATACTCGGCTATAGGGATGTACGAGGTTTGGGTCAACCCATGCGCTACTTATTGACGTACGCGGGCCTCGAGTTCGTCGATCGCCGTTACGGGTCGACTGAGGACTGGCTGTTGGATAAGCACGCGCTCGGACTCCAGTTCCCGAACCTTCCCTACTATATAGACTCCGATATAAAGCTGACACAAAGTACGGCAATAATGCGATATTTAGGCAGAAAGTACGGACTCTATGCGGTTGATGGCGATGAACTGGCTCACCGGCGACAAGATATGGCTGAACAGCATATTTATGATATGAAATCCCATTTCCATTATGAGATACTTATGCGCGAAGACTGGGAGCGCCGAAGGGATGCCTACTGCACAGGTATACTCGACAATCAGCTCAACCTATTGGCCGAGTTTTTAGGGGACAACGAGTGGCTGATTGGCGATCAGTTGTCTTACATAGACTTCACGGCCTATGAAGTGTTGGATTGGTTCAGAGGGTTTGCGCCAATTAGTGTCGATAAGCACCCGATTATTGGACGTTATTTATGTCGGTTTGAAAATCAGGGGCCAATCGCCGCGTACCGAAAATCGTCGAAATACAAGTCGTGGCCAATGACTGGACCCCGGGCTAAGTGGGGCTCAAAATAAATGGCAAATATTTGTAAACTAATAAAAAAGCTAAACAAAAATACTACCCCGTTAATAGAGTTACAATATTGTCAAAAACATTAACTAAGAAATATACTGTACTTGCAATCAATGTCTATTGCTTGTTAATTTAAAGTAGATTATCGATAGTATCGATAGAATTTTTATTAATATAAATGTAGAATTATACTTAAAAATTAAATATATTTATTATAAATAATTAAAAATTATTAATTATTACATAAACTAGACTCTTGATTAAAATTATAATTTTAAAATTAAACCAATTTCATATAACTTCATAATAATAGTGAAATGCGTTTTATAGTAATTAAGTATTTATAACCTTGCTTCAATTCCGACGATAACACGTTTCGGTGACATAACGTGAATAAAGCGTTTATAATGTATGGGAACATCAGTTTGGGGGCACCGGTAGAAACGGAACCGGCGAACAACATATGCTATACACACCTTATCAATAAGCAAGGCAAATCTAGTGGCAACACAATTGCGTGGGCCGGCACCAAATGGCAAATATGTATAGGGAACTAACTTGCTCTTATTTTGGGGCATAAATCTGTCAGGGTCGTATTTAAATGGGTCGGGATAAAACTGCGGTGAATGGTGTATAACATAGGCCGGTATCTCCACCTGTTGTCCCGCTTTGATGGTAACACCGGTTTCGCCTAATTTATAGTCAGTTGAGGCGATTCGTGCCAACGGTAGGGCCGGTAAGTGTTGGCGCAATGTCTCTGACAGGACGGCATCCAAATAGGGTAGTCGTGCCAACCGGTCGTAAGGAATATTTTCGGTGTCCGAATCCATGGCACCAGTAATCTCGTCGTATAGACGCTGTTGAGCGCCTGGATTAAGTGCTAAGTGATAGCACGTATAGGCCAGCACCTCCTGAATTGACGAATACCCGGCTAATATGAATTGCAGAGACTGTGCGATGATTTCGTTTTCTGAAAGCCGTTTAGACTTATCGCTCGTATTTTCAGCTATTATTATATGAATTAAGTTTTAACATCAAAATTATTTTAATTATTAATAATTACAATATAACTCATTACACATACCGTTCCCATTAATGTCGTCCTCTTGAATAGCATCCATGAGTAGTTGAGTGAAGTCGTTATGAGACCTACGGAATTGACTCATTAATGAACATGTACAATTTTGACAATTACTAAATTAAATCCCAAAAAAGTAAGCAACATCTACAATTATTAAGGTTATTAATATAATAAAATGTCATAATTTTTAATATTTGAAATTCACGGCTAATTTTAAACTTATTCATGAATTATGCCTCACTTTTGATGGTTGTGTTGTCGTCTCTGGGAAACGATATGTCGAATAAAATCGACAAAATATTCAATGGCTTTAGTGTCGGCCGATGTCTGTAACAAACGTTTCACAAACTGCGGCAAAATTATAGCCGAGAATTCACGAAAGGCGTTGAAATTGGACTTTTGCCTTGCTGCAACCACAAATAGATCATCATCTCGTTCATAAATGTTATCAAGGTGTACCGAGAACAGTGTAGCAGCCTACAATAATACTGTATATTTTTTAACTTTTTAGAAGAAATAAAATATAACTACAGACAGCATAGCATAATTAATTAGGTATAACTTGTAAACCAAAAATAATTCAAAATTAGACTACTAGTAATATGTTAAATTATAATTATATACTATAATATAATATAATATACTAGCCATAACATCCAG